CCACTTCTCACAACAAGCCAGTGAGGTAGGGATGAGGGTTGCCAACAGGCCTGGAGAAGAATGCCCTGCCCTTTTAGCAGAGGCTTAATGTGTAGAAATGGGCAGAGTTGAAGCTTCTCATGGCACGGAAGTCAACAATATCCACTTTTACTTAAGTTATTTATAACTGTCACTTGGACTCAAGGCAGGTTACAAAGAGTGAGTCGATCCCATTCAAGAGGACGGGACATTCAGTAGACAATGCGATAGGATTTGGATAGCAGAAAACTGGAACCAACCAGAAATCAGACAACAGGATTGAAGCAAAGCAGGAGTTATTAACATGACGCATCAAACAGTGCTAAAAAGCACATAGTAGGATCCTTCTTATAATTAACCCCCTATTAAAGAGCCAAGGCGTTATTTCCCCCCCGCAGGCAGTTGGCAACTCTAGGACAGACAGGCTGAAAGGTGACTGGCCTGAAGTCACCCAGTGAGCTTTGTGGCTGAGTGCAGATTGGAACCCAGCTCTCTCCATCCCTAATCCCATTCTACAATTGGGCCAGAACGCTTTTGGGATTGCGGTGATCAGCTTTCCCTTTTGTATGAACTGCCTGATTGCGGGTCCACCATCACCACCAAGTCAAAGTCCCCCCTTGGCAGACAACTCGGGTCCTACATATGAAAACACCTTGAATGGCAGCTAATGGGAATATGTGTTTCTGAAAGGAGGAGGATCCCTAACACAAGCAGGGGTCGTCTCGTAGAAAAAGAGCTAGGGGAACTCATTAGCATAACTCATTAGCATATGCCACACCCCTTGACATCACCGGAAGTGTGTCATAAGGCCACACCCCCTGACATCACTGGAAGTGTGTCATAAGGCCACACACCCTGCCCCCAACGGTCCTGGCCACCACCACCGGCCTTGCAGCTCCACTGCCGAGCCCCATGAGGGGCCCGGCAGTGGACCTGCAAGGCCGGCGGGAGTGCAAGGAAGCCCCGCCAAGGCCCTCCCTGGCCCCAGGCAGGCAGGGGTGGGGAGAGGCAGGGAGGAAGCAACTTACCCTCCCTCTTCTCCTGCCTCCTCCTGGCTGAATGAGGGCCGGAAGCGGGGTGGCCAGAAGCAGGGGGCGGGGCTTCGTCATGTGCCCCGCCCCCCATACCTCATCCGGGGGAACTGCGATCCCCCGCGATCCCCCCTGAAATGACCTCTGAACACAAGTGATGATTTTTCAGGAAGGAGAAAGGATATCCGGTCGTCCGGACCCTTTGCAGTGCGGCGAAATCAAGGGCCATCAGCAGAGGTTTGAAGACGGTGGTGGAAAGTTCCGTCAAGTCGCAGCTGATTTATGGTGACCCTGTAGGGTTTTCAAGGCCAAGCGAGGAGCAGAGGTGGTTTGCCTTTGCCTACCTCTGCATAGCGACCCTCAACTTCCTTGGTGGTCTCCCATCCAGGTATGAACCAGGGCCGACCCTCCTTAGCTTCCAAGATCTGATGAGATAGGGGTAGCCTGAGCCATTCAACTCAGGGAAACAATTTCATGGGGGAGGAGCAAAAGAGATTTGGGGGTCAGGGAGAAATTCAAGGCAAGGCTCATTGGCCTGCTTAGGGTTGGGGAATTCCTGCATGTTTGAACATGGGTAGGGTGGATGGGTAGGGTGGGTATGGTGGGATTTGGGGAGGGGGGGTACTTCCGCAGGGATGTAATTTCATAAAATCTTTATAGGGCTTTCAAGGCAAGAGATAGGCAGAGGTGATTCGCCAGGCTGACCCTGCTTAGCTTCAAAGATATTATGAGATTCGGCTACCCTGAGCCATTCGGGTCAGGGAGGTTTGAAGATAACACTGGAACTCCAAGGGCGGGGGAAGAAATCCCACAAGCAAACAAACCAGCTTCAATGTCAAACACAATAGTGGCCTGGTTCTTAGAGTTTTCTTTTTGAAATAACTCTAAAAGTACCACAGATTCCCAGCCACCACAAAAGAAAGAAAACCAAATAAGCATCTGCCTCGAGTCCTCGTTCCGAACCCCGCTCTTGTGCTTTTAGCAGCGGCTTGATCCAACGAAATCAGCTGGTGACATTTTTCACAGCATGGAGACAAAACACGGTCACCTGCTGATGTTGGCAGATCAACTTGACTGTTAAAAGTGCAAGAGGAGAGGTTAGGAACGAAGTTGACCAAACTACCGCAGAACCTAACCAACCCCAGGGCAGACAGCGTTCTTGCCGCTGTGCCCTGGACAGCAAAAGATCCAACTCAACGGCTTTATAAGCAAAAAGCTTTGAGGAACTTCTCTAACTCCTTTTATAATACTATAATTATTATTTGAGGGAATCAACACCCCCCCCCCCAAGAGGTGGCTCAGACATCTTAAGTTTTGGAAGATGCATGTGATGAAAATACTCTGGTACCATGTTGCCTCAGGACACAAAGACAGTCAGAGGGCCCCATGTCTAAGGACATGAGGTAATTTCAACGTGGTTCCATTTCCCTGAAGCCACTGTGCAGCCATCTTGTTTACATGGTCATGAGTGGTTCCCATGGTACCACCTTCCGAATGTCTCTTCTGTTTATCCAAAACGGCATTATTTACCTGACTGGCGATATCCTATTGCAAGGGTCCCCATACCTTTAAAGCCTGCTGGCGCTTCTGGAATTTTAACACAACGGGTGATGGCTGCGACGGTAAAATGGCTGCCGCAGAAGGTGGAGCTAAACCTAAAATGTCAGGGAGCGATGTTACGCATGACTCTAATAGTATCTCTTCGACATTTCAAGCTCTGATCAACAGAATGGCTTTTGAAGTGAACATATTGTTTAAAAATACTTCCTTGAATATACACAGCTTATCTTCAGTCATGCACAGAAGATTCTTGTGGGGCAGTGGCAGCCGCCGCAACTATTAAAAAAACTGCACAGCGAATCAGATCTTCAATGACCAATCAGAAACTCTGCTGGGCCCAAGCCCCATTTGGACCCGCCCACCTTCTAAGAACATTTGGCGGTTGCCAGGCATCTTCACAGCCAATCAGATCTTCAATGACCAATCAGAAACTCTGCTGGGCCAAAGCCCCATTTGGACCCGCCCACCTTCTAAGAACATTTGGCGGTTGCCAGGCATCTTCACAGCCAATCAAATCTTCAATGACCAATCAGAAACTCTGCTGGGCAAAAGCCCTATTTGGACCCGCCCACCTTCTAAGAACATTTGGCGGTTGCCAGGCAAAGTGTTAGTGGGCGCCCACAGGAACCGTGTTAGGGACCCCTGTCCCATTGCCACCATAGTGCCTCCTTTAAACAGCCATCTCTCACAGACAGTGATATTTGCTTCTTTTCTTTGACTAAACACCAGCCATAAGACCACTGACCTACTGGCATTCCTATTGGGTTACTATGACCCTGGTCACACAGGCCGGATATCGTGGGGGGGAGGCTTGGCTAATTGCCCCGGCGCAGGTTGATGCGCGATTATGCGATCAGATGCACTGGCGGCATACCACGGGTCCTTCCCTCGGTGCCGGCGGGTAAACGAGGGACCGGAGGGGAATGCTGCGTGCCGTTGGGATCACACCACGGGTGTCTGGAGGCAGCCCGTGGCAAACGTTTACTAGTACCTTGGAGGTACTAGTTTTTTAAGGCGCATTGTCAGTGGTAAGCTACGGGTGCGCTCCACTTCCCAGATGTTGGGGTGTGATCGCGCCCAGATAATCCGCCCACCATCCGTGCCTCTCCCGCGGCAACTTTGCCATGTGACCGGGGCCTTAGTTAAGCTTTTTCTCTCTCAATATGGGCCTCATCTTTTAAGCCAGAAATACAAGAGCTTCCTGTTTCTATGCCATCCCTCGAGCACCTTCCCTCCCCCAAATGGGGCCCTTTTTCTTCAGACATTTCTTCCACGAGTAATCGTATATCACAGCTGTAAAAAATATAAGCACAAATCTTGTGAATCTTTTTCTCCCCTGGTCTTTAAAATAAGGCAAAATGTTTACCTCTCAAAGGGAAAGGAAGCTGTTGTTTTCGAACTTTTGCTCAAGGAGAAGACTGTCAATACAAAACGATACCGTGAGCGGGCTTGAACTTTGGTCAGTTATTTTCGTATCAAAAAAAAAAAAGTGTGACTGAGGGAATTCAGTCTGTGAGGGAAACCACCCCTCCCCCTTTGATTCTGCCCATTTTAGAAAGGCACATGTCAGATATAGAAAAAGAATACATTTCAGTCCTTTACAGAAGAGTTCAGAGAAGAACAGCCATCAGAAATACGTTTTGAAAAGTAAATGGTAGTGGTCAGTTGGTTCCATCTTCATGGATTTTCACTCACGGCTTCTCCCCGGTTCCTTATGGCTGTGAAGAAAATATATGTGTTTATAAAAGAATTAATAATCAGATATGGAAAGGGGTTCATATACATTTTCTGGATGTCAGCAAATACAGACTTGGTGCTCCGAAACACAAATGCACCATTGCCTATATAGTACAGAATGGGAGAGGAGCCCCCTCATGAGGCTGCTTCAGAGAAAAGATCTAGAGCGATCCAAGCTCCTTTGAGGTATTCATGAACTGAGACGGTGGTAGCATCCACTCTTGCTGGGCTGGAAACCTACAAGATGTTGCCACCTCTCTTTCGGCCATTCATTTCCTTCACCGAAACTTCGAGAATGTGGTTTCAGGCAACCATATGAAGAAACACAGCTGTTCTTTTCCTTCAGCTTGCACAAGACGAAATTTCAGGACTGAAACGTTACCCAAAGATTCCCTTTGAGCTCGGCAGCCACAAAGAAGAAACAGTCCCTTTCCCCATCACCAGATTTCGAGAGATTCTCCCACGTTCTTCCCAAGAAAGCAAGACCGGTACGCAGAGCCAATCAACGCGGTTCGCTAATTCCAACCCCAGTGGTGGTTCCGTGGCGCCATCCACTGAAGCTTCAGATCCACTCCGCTCCAGGACACCCATCTTTTTAACAAGTTTGTTGATAATCCCTGCTAACGGAAATCACAGCACTCTCTGGGATGAGGGTCATCTGCCCTTGAAGATATGTATTTTGTCAATTGAGGCAAGAGTCAACGTTACGTTAGATTCAAAATCTCCATCGTGGACTCCTGTCTGTCGGAACGCCCCGGCAGAAGGATTGTTCTCCCAGTAATGGTGCCAGTTGCCTTTGCTATCTGCTCCAAAGCCATATAGATCCACCTGGAGAGAAAGAAAGAAGAAATCTTCAGATGCCTGACCCTTAAGACTGCATCCAATATCTTTATTTATTAAAACGTTTTTTTTACCCCACCTTTTCCTCATAGTTCATTTTCCTTTACTCCCAAGTTCTATGCAGGAAAGTAACCCTGAAGCAGCGGAACATAGCGACGAAGTCATATTTCTGAATAAACTTTATGCATATCCTTCAGAGTCCTTTGACGTTTTTGTCTTTGCTCAGGAAGGAGGGCTCCAGAGCAAACTGATTGATGCGGCAGCCAAATCGCTCGCTCACAGTTTTAATGCCAGTAGCTCACAAAGTTGAATTTTTGCTCACAAGACTCCACTGCTTAGATGGAACATTGCTTCAGACAATTAAAAAATATCCAATAATATGACTGTTCTTGGGCCATCATTTCAGCAGAGTATGCTTTCAAATCGGGATGAGAACAAAGGCGTAGTTCACACACAGAGAGGAATGAACTTCTTTTTTGTTTGTTTTTTGTAACGGAAAATACATAAATAAAACTTAAAAAAAAAGAAGAAGTGGAAGAAACAGGAAGGGATAGAATGGACTGCACCGCTTCAGGTGGCCAGTCAAAACCATAAGTTGCTGAGAGCCCCCTGCAAGGAGAAAGCCAGCACCAAAGAGAACCTTCTCCCTGTGCTAGTCTTCAGCTTGCATGGAGCGGGCTTGTTTTTAATGCAAAGGATCATTCAAAGTCGAGATCTGAAATAGCTCAGTCTCCTTTGCCACTTCAGAACTCTTCCGTTCCATCCTCCTCTGTACGTGGACCAGGATTTAAGAGTTGCATGTACCTCGTCGCAGATGTGGAGGGCAAATATAACCGACAGGAAGCCGGTCGAAGGGTATCTTCCGTGATGCTGCAGCCAGTTGTCATAAACATATTTTATAAAGTTGGGATGATAAACCAGGATCTGTGGGGAAAGCAGCAAATGGTTTGTTAGTTTGGCTGCTAACAGCCTGTTCTGAGATCAGACAAAGCTTCCTGAAGGCTAAAGCTCCTGTTCAGCTGGGTGACCGTGGGCCAGTCCCTATCTCGCAGTTTGGTGTAGTGGTTAAGTGGACTCTAATCCGGGAGAACCAGGTTTGATTCCCCACTCCTCCGCATGCAGCTGCTGGTGTGACCTTGGGATAGACACAATTTCTCTCAGAGATGTTCTGTCAAGGGCAGTCCTCGAAAGAGCTCTCTCAGCCCCACCTACCTCACAGGGTGTCTGTTGTGGGGAGGGGAAGGGAAAGGAGATTGTAAACTGCTCTGAGGCGCCTTTGAGTGAAGGGCGGGGTATAAATCCAAATTCCTCCTCCTCCTCCTCCTCCTCTACCTCACAGGTTTGTTGTGAGGATCACACAAGGCAGGAAGCAGAAGAGGAGGAGAAGCGCGTACCCTGCTTTGAAGTCCTTGTGATTAAACGAAGAATAACGATGTATTTAGACCAAAAGGGCTTATGTGCACTTCCCAATGTTTGCAGCAGGTGGCACTACAGCTATAGCTTAGACTCACTGCATCTCCTAGTCCTTTTCTGGTCAGTTTCAAATGAAATTGGGAACTGCAAAATGTTCTGCAAACTAGCATCTTTTTTAAAAAAAGTTTTGATCCAAAGGACTTGAGGTTGGTCAATTTCCCATGAAACGTTAAAGACTCGGTAGTATGCAGATGCAATCTTGGGAATGAGTCTAGCATGCCATGCTATACCACTGGGAAGAAGTCACCCGCTTGTAAGCGGGGACAGGTCGAAGGCTGTGAATCCTGTCACTGCAGCTGTTGCTCCCAATGCTGAGCCGGAAATTCCTCCAGGTTCAGGGGGCTTGGCACCTTCAGAATCCCCCCTGTGGCATCTCAAAAGGTCTGTAGAATATCCTTAACAGAGGCAAAAACTGGGCTACCAGCTGGAGCATTCAGGGCTGCAAGTTGGACCCAAAGCACTATAGTGGTTAGAGTACTGGATTTGAAAGGCCTGGATTCGAACCCTCTCCTTTGAAGCCTGCTGAGTGACCCTGAGCCAGCCACACCCTCTCTCAGCCTGCTCTGAGCTCCTTGGAGGAAAGGTGGGATGGCTCTGACCTGAATGGCCGAGGCTAGCCCAATTCCGTCAGGTCTCGGAACCTAAACAGGGTCAGCTCTGGCTAGTATTTGTGTGGGAGACCTCCAAGGAATACCAAGGTTGTGATGCAGAAGCAGGCAATGGTAAACCACCTCTGAAACGTCTCTTGCCTTAAAAAAAACAACCCTCGCTTGCCACCTCATGGTGCACAATGCTAAAAGAGCTAGAACTTTTGGTTGCCAGACAATCTTAAGATCTCCTGCCTATATTACACACACCGCCATATGATAATTAATTAAGGGCGGGAGGTATATGTACTAAATGGACTTTATCTTGCTCTGTTCAAATGTCTGAAAGGATACGTTTGGATCTCTCTCATTGGGAGATCTAGCAACCACCTGAGGGCCATTTCACACATCCCGTGAAGCATACCTTGCACTGTTACCCCATGAGTAGGTTCTCAGATCAGCAATTAAGTACATAGCTGGGATCCCTTCACCAATGCTGCAGAAGCGCTATCCATAGTTTTCAATTTTTAAAAAAGAAATTACGCTTCTACCAAAATTTAGAATGCTAGAAACAGAGGTCATTTCGGGGGGGGGTTGCGGGGGATCGCAGTTCCCCCGGGTGAGGTATGGGGGGCAGGGCACATGACGAAGCCTCGCCCCCTGCTTTCGGCCGCCCCGCTTCCGGCCCACCCCTGCCTGCCTGGGGCCAGGGAGGGCCTTCGCGGGGCTTCCTTGCACTCCCGCCGGCCTTGCAGGTCCACCGCCGGGCCCCTCATGGGGCTCGGCAGTGGAGCTGCAAGGCCGGCGGCAGCGGCCGGGACCGTTGGGGGCGAGGTGTGTGGCCTTATGACACATTTCCGGTGATGTCAGGGGGTGTGGCCTTATGACACACTTCCGGTGATGTCAGGGGGTGTGGCATATGCTAATGAGTTATGCTAATGAGTTCCCCTAGCTCTTTTTCTACGAGACGACCCCTGACTAGAAAGAAATGTATTTCTCTAATCTGGGGGCAGAAGGGAGTCCCAGCACAGTGAAGAGCTTCGCCTGCTTCAAAGCGAGGACGTAAAGCAATTGCCAGCATGCTCGGGAAACATCAAACGCCAGAGAGCTCACTCACCCCCTCCCTCATTCAAAAGTAATAACAGCGTCACAGCTAATTAAATGTGTCATTCCACAGACACTAACAGGATCTGTCTGGAGTGACACATCAGCCCATCTAACTCCGATTTTCATATATTTATTTCCATCGTTATGCTTCCCCCAGAATTCAATCCCACCCAATGGTTTGTTTTGTTACTCTACTTGGGCCATAAACTTCATCAAAGAAGACGTCAATACCTAATTATTGCACTGATCCACCAAGGATTAAAGCTTCTGGCTCCCAGCCCATCCATTTTGAGAAATATCTTGTTTCCCCCTCTGTCTTAACACTTCTGGGGTATAAAGCTAGCCCTGAGAAGTGAGGGCTCTTTTTGTAGCAGGTACTCATTTGCATATTAGGCCACACCCCCTAATGTAGCCAATCCTCCAAGAGCTTACCAGTAGCCCCTGTAAGAAGAGCTCTGTAAGCTCTTGGATGATTGGCTTACCAGTAGCCCCTGTAAGAAGAGCTCTGTAAGCTCTTGGATGATTGGCTACATTAGGGTGTGTGGCCTAATATGCAAAGGAGTTCCTGCTACAAAAAGAGCCCTGTAAAAAGCTCTTTGAGTCCCACCTCGGCACTAGCAACTGGTTCCAAAACACAGTCCAGCATTCTGTCTCACACAAGGGCACTGAGACCAAGATCAGTAACCAGGGTTTGCAGCTGGTTCATTAGCCCGCTTTGTGTGACGGATGGATGTGGAAGCATTCGTTCTCTGATTTTGAAAATGTGACTTTTGCTATCTCAATGTTTCATTTTGCTTTTGATGTGGGATCCACTTTTTAAGGGGAAAAAGACCTGACTTTAAAGGTCAAGGACATATCGCTCTATATCAGTCTGCTAAATGTAATATTCCTCCACCGTTTCCTAACATTCGTACAACCCAAGAGCATCCATAATTGGGAATGTTAAAGAAGAAGAAGCTATAGGTTGGGTGCCCTGACTTGCTAGCCTGATCTCATCAAAACTCAGAACCTAAGCAGAGTCAGCCCTGGCTAGTACTTGGAGGGGAGGCCACCAGGGTTGCTACACAGGGGGAGACAGTGGCAAACCACCACCACTGTTCCCTCTAAGCTGAGTTAGTGTGAGCTAGCTCACAGTTTTTTAGCCTCCGGCTCACACCTTTTTGTCTCAGCTCAGGAAGGAGGGCTCCAGAGCAAACTAATTTAATGCAGTAGCCAAATCACCTGCTCACAGCTTTAATGCCAGTAGCTCACAAAGTAGAATTTTTGCTCACAGGACTCTATAGCTTAGAGGGAACATTGACCACCATTTCTTGCATTGACCCGGATGGCTGAGGCTTGCCTGGTCTCATCAGCTCTCAGGAGCTAAGTATGGTCACCCTTGGTCAGTACTTGCATGAGAGACCATCAAGAAAGCCCAGTGTTGGTCCACAGGGGGAGACAATGGCAAACCACCCCTGATCATCTCTTGCTTCGAAAACCCTACAGGGGTGCCATATTTCTGCTATGACTTGATGGCAAAAAGATTGGGTTGGATCCCGCAGCCTGTGGGTAGAAGGATCATGGGATAGTTCCCTTCCTCCTCCTTTCCCCCCCAAACCCTTTAAAGGTAAAGGTCTAACTTGCTCAAAAGCCAATTGAATCCGACCCTAGGGTTGCGGTGCTCATCTCCGGTTCAAAGCCGAAGAGCCAGCGCTGTCCGAAGACATTTCCGTGGTCATGTGGCCGGCATGACTAAACGCCAAGGCGCACGGAACGCTGTTACCTTCCCACCGAAGTGGTACCTATTTATCTACTTGCAATTTCTTGCTTTCGAACTGCTAGGTTGGCAGGAGCTGGAACTA